ATGTATATATAGCCGAAAAAAGAACCTTGTATTTGTCTTATTCTTAAAGAAACAAGTATATTCGATCATATCGCGAAAATGTCTAATGATTGATCAGGCATATGGAATTTCTTATTGCATTTTAGGAGAGAAAGAGCGAAAAGCGGATCTTCGCAAGCATCGCTCCACAGTTTTTTCAGCCCTGCTAAAAAACCTAAAACAGAATTGAAAAAAGAGGAGACCAGTGATTCATAAGTTCTTTCTGTTTTAAGTTGTTCGCTTGGAATTTAATTTGTTTCTGTTATTGATTTTTGGTACTATTTTTGTTGTTTTCACGTTTTGAAATTAAACGTTTCTGACCGACAAGCATAAAGTATATTAATTGTGTATGCAGTGAGATTTTGACCTGTCATAAAAACGGCTATTGTATTGTTCATCATATTATCAAAAACATGTGTTGGAGGAATATTTTTCACGGCGTTTATTGCTCACATCGTAAGTATTCGCTCTTTGTTAAAGTAGCATACGTAAATTCCTTCGTTTTTAAACTTTTGTATACCACGTTTTGTACCTTGCAACTTGGGCGACGACTTCAGTGTCCTTACACTGTGTGGTGAGCATTGTTTTTGAGGTAGTGCTATATTTTGAGGTATCGAGTGTTTAAAGCGATTTGGGATTTGGGCTGTTCCTATACATTTAGGAAAGGAAATATATAGTATTAAATATCTTTCGTTTCTCAATGCTTCATTCATTTGATATGTACAAAGTTTTAACATCCGTTGCCTGTTAATATCGTGTGTATTTTGTGTAAGCACTGCTTCGTTGGCATTGAGTAAGTAGCCGTCTTTAAAATTTATGGTATGACTCAGCAGTTTCCAAGTTTCGCTCCAAAAATCCTTTTAATTGTGCTTGTCTCTGGAGGAAGAATTATTCAGCATTGTCAAGTATGATAGAGTGTATTTTCTTTTATCTGCTTCTGTAGCCGTGAACACAAAAACAGTCGCCCAATAAGGCTCGCGCGATTATAAAATTCTGACTGATTGTCAGCCATTATGTGACTGTCACCGTACTGCTGGAAGGCAAATGAGTTGTTTTCAGTGGAAGTCAACGGCGGCTTATGATTTACAAGCAAATTGCTGTTCGCACTGAGAAAACGTCGTTGCTGTGCTGCGTTCCACGTCTCGCGGTTTCCACGGAGAGAAGGGTACAAAAGCAAACCAGTTAGAAGATAGATTCATTGAAACTACTGCGCCGTAGCGTGTACCCCTGGCTTGTCAACACTATAGCCAGAGGACATTTTTTTGATTGACGCAGCGCTCCACCATCGCATCTAATGATGTACGTTAGGCGCAGTCATGAAACTGTAGTATGCTGATTTCGTAATGCAAGTATTTAGTCAAATGGTTAGTTTACCATTAAAGAATGGAACTTTTAGACAGATCGAAGCAAATTGTACCCATAAGGTACAATCGACCCACGTCATGTATGGAGGTTTAGGCATTGCCAAACGAGCATATAATGCTGTGACAATTGTTTCCGGTTCGACGACTCGACTATTTGTGAAAAATAAAGGCGAGGGGCAAGTGCTTCAAGAAAATTAGTATTCCAGAAAAGCTTTTGCCTTGTAGCTTAAACCAGTTTTTTAAAGCGAAATTATCATTTCATTCTGAGTATTTGATTCTACCATTCATGTTCTAACTTCATTAATCAGAGGCATCTACATTGTTTATGTAAAGGTAGGTATCGCCTAATTCATTATGTAATGGAAGTTTCGCTTTTTTAACTCAGTTTTTCGCGCAACGCCAAACTTTATCGTCATACTTAATAAAGCTTTCAGTAACCTTTAAAGTTGTCTGATTTTGTTCAGGAGACTAAAAAGATATTACATATTATCGATTCGCGGAACGGATTACCAAGATATACTGAGTAAATCCTTACAAAACAATTTTTAATAATTAACAAATTAGTAAATAGAATCTTTCATGAGCTATGCGCCTTTCGGATGCGTTTTTCCAAAATTTCTATTAGGAGGGAAAGGTTCGATAACGAGCAACTCCCCTATGACCAGATCTCACACGCATACACTCTCTTACTATCTAAGAAGGAGATATGTATCCCGAAAAATCTGGTCGTAAAGGAGTAGGGCTTCATTTGACATATCCTGCGATTTGATCTTATATTCATGTTTATGTGAAAGGATATAAGGAGTATCAGCTGATGAAGTTTTGTTCGCAATGAGTGCAAGTCGCTCTTTTGAACAAAATGATTCGAGATGCGCTTGGTATTGCAGGTTCTCATATCCTGACATTCGCGACTTGATCAAATGGTTATATTGAAAGTAGGATTAAGGAGACGGTACAGTTCATCGAAACATATATGGCTTTGGAGGAATCGTACGCTATCTAACTTATTCCGGCGTGCAAACATATGTTAGCATAAATGCGATTATTAACGGTCCTTTATCAATCATTCAGCGCCTTCTGTTTTTTCATCACTGTCTGCAAGAACTTTGTTTTTGATGATCAGGAAGATTGTTGGAAAAGAATAAAAATTGCTCTTCGATTAGCGTCATTATCGACACTGGGTTTGATCATCAGCCATCATCATGACCATCATCAGTCAAATCTCGGCAAAGCCTTTATTTCATCTTCGTTATAATGCAGCTGCTATAATACCTGTAGATCATTTATGCATCGTTCTCGAAACAGTATTCTTGAAAGGAATGCTTAATGTGGTAGAAACTGATGGTGATGCTGAAGCAGTTATGTTTTCTGTTACTTTTTTGTACCTTATTAGAGTTAATCAATTGCAGTGACTCGCGTTGCGTAGTAATTCTTCCTTCGCAGGTCTTCGTATGTGGTTGTTTGTTCCGTTGTATCAGTTTTACTTCTTTGATTTTAGCTGCCCTTTGTCTTAATGTCCTCTGTTAGTTAGTCACTAATGCCAGACGGCAGTATTCCGGATTTAAATTTAGTTGATCCGCTATTCCTTCTACGGCCTTCGTATTCGTTTTCTTTGGGTCGCTCATGCATCAGCGGTATACCCGTTGTAGTTGTAATATATGCGGCTATGAATGACAGACCTTTATAGCTGATTTTGATTCCTAGGATTTTCACTTTTTTCCGGTGAACGAGAGGGATAATGCCTCGGTCATGACTAATACTCATATCGTCTTGTTTCTGTTGTTCATTTTGGTAGTTCTTTTGATCGATTTATCGTCATTTACTCACTGGATGCTGGAGGATATCTTGTTTTTTTTAGCGACGTTACGTAATTGTAGACTTCTCAACCGAATGCGAAGATTTCCTCAAGAGTCTGCGTCACTTCTGGACCTCTTTCGACAGCCGTCTTCGCGTGTCTGACAGTACCGTGTTTATTGAGCAGCAATGCATTCGCCGAACAGCAGCGACGAAGGCTCCGACCAGCTTGATTCGTACGGCGACTACGACCGTAAGTTAAAAGCTAATATTTATTTTTTGTGTAGTTTTTAGTGAAGTGGTGCTACTGTTGTTTCAAGTACTCATGTGGCGAAGACGAGTGAAGTGGAATGAAGCGAATAACTCCTTTGATATACGTGGACTTCAGAACGCTATGCTAACGGAACAGTCATAATTGAGATTAAAAACAGCTGAAAGCTGAAATGAGCTACTTTCCTGTCTGTTATAAAAAATATTTGCAAGAAAAGAGTTGTTTGTATACGAATTCGGGCGAAGGAATCGAATAAGGAAAAAATGAAAGTTTGTGTCCTTATGTAGTCCTTAATCTAATACTCACCGTGACGTTGAACCGCTGGCCAGGTTTTAATTTTGGTCGGTGTGTCTTGAAGCCATTTTCAGAGTCTTGGGCACCTAACACTATTGACATCCTTCAGTCTTTTCACATGGGTGGTAGAAAGTGACACAGCGTAAGGTCGCACTTCTTCATGCATAAATCAGCCCTTGGCAAACACCATACTAGGGTTTGGCAAGGACTACTCATCGTTACTAACGTAATCGTCCATTGCTGACTCGCCTTGTGTGGCCATGTGGTTACTACCAATAGTACGCGCGTAGCAACTGTACTCACAGTGAGTCCAACTCATGGATCATGGAATGTTGCAGATTCCTCGAGTAGACATGTCGATTATGAAGCAGAGAACACTGCCATCACTACAGGCACCTCATTTCGATAGAAGCTACGCGGCTGATAATGACTGGCACTGAACATTGATTGAGTCATGATGTAAGGCATAGTAATATTAGGGTCGGACGTTAACCTCATATACGTCCTGTTTGCTGCAAAGTAATCTTATTGGTTCCTGTTTTCATTGCTGAGGGTTAGCTGCTTCAGCTGTCTTCGCATTGATGTGAGCAGGAGGGAAAATGGTTTAAAATTCCAACGTGCTTCTTCAGTATTTCATGCGAAAGACGAATCGCTATCTGTTGTTCTTGTTTTTTATCTTGTTCTAGAAGGCAGTTTTCAAGACCCTGTTGTTGATTAGGAAAGAAACGGAGGGATCTAATTCGCCGATTTGACTGCGTTAGAGTGGAGTTGATGAATCTCTGAGTAGGTGGCCAGTTTCCTTTAGAGACGTGATATCCACATGCTACACTTTAAGATGGATAACTCCCTTTGTAACCCATTGTCTTGATGAGTAATGAGCAGAATGAAGTAATGGATGAAGCCTTCTGAAAATAGGATTGCTCTACCTAGAGTTTTAATGATTCTCTCTACGTTGGAGTAGCGCGTCAATAGTCTAAGATTTTTCGCACATTGTAGAGAGAAAAAGACAAATACAATAACGTTGTCGTGTTGAGTGGACTTAGATACACGTTATTTAATCTGGCCTGATGTCTGTCCGATGAACGGATTTACTGAGTAGTTGCGTGAACCTGTGAGAACCAAGCGGAGTTGATGACCAAGTGTCAGGTGCTACAGCGTAATATCTTAATGGAACTGGAACATTTGGCATAAGATTGGCAAAGAAGGTTTAATCAGGTTACTGTAGGTTTTCACCAAAACTTGGTTAACCGGCTCTTTTTTATGGCAGGCCTCACAAAGATATATACTGATGGCTCTGTAGACAATTAAGACTTTCTGTCGTACTTCGTTCAAGTGAAAAGTTGTAGAAAACTGGTTTTTATTTGGAACTTTACTTTTACATTCATTTTCACGGGTTTTACCGTTACGCCTCTTTCCTTGTCTCTCTGTTCTCGTTTAAAATTCTTTCTCTGCATGAAGACTGATGATGCTGTCAGAAACATAACCATTCTCTTTTTCCAGACTGCAGTAATCTCGAGTCCTGCATGTCAATTAAATTCAAGAAAATTAGATTAGCCCGGGGCATCATTATCATCATATTCAGCTTTTTTTCGATTCACAATTGTGTTATTATCTGCCTAATACTCTGTCATAATGTTCCATTTTCTATGAGATTAGTTCATATTGATCCATGGATCTCCTTCAGATGTTCCTACCATGGATCTGAGCATGTTCCTTCATGTGTTTCTATCCCTTGCAACTCACTCTGTTGCCTTTCTTGTCACTTACTTTAATTATTTTATTTTTGCGTACGACAAGCTAGCGGTTATGCCAAGCAGCGAGTTGTTTTGTTTTACGTGACTGAAGAATGCATCCTTTCTTACCGCATTCAGTCAGTCAGTTTCG